AATATATATATATATATATATATATATATACACATTAGTAAAAATATTATGAAATGGTTAAACCTGACAGTTTCTGATACAATCACTATCCTCCATACACAGAAAGCCATTTTCCTCTTGAAGTCATGCTAATCTGCCTGAGAAACTTGCATGCCACCAGCCTTGTGAAAATTCCAACTTAAATTTCATGTGAAACACATGAACTTACACTGCTTCATGGTCACGTATCATGTAGCAAAACCCTCCACCAATAGAAATGCAACACATCTCCTTGCCTTAATGTGCCCTTTACATTCACACACAAAATTCCTCATTCTTTTCCTCTGCACATTCATGCAAAGACATGTTTATTTTTGTTGAGACTTGTTGAAGTATTTTATATCAACAACTTTGTGTTTTTGACCTTTCACTATGAATTCACAATTTAATGTGAATTTTTTTCTGCTTGAGTACAAGTATCACAGACAATTACCAACAATCTTTGCCTATTGAGAACGTGTCAGCCATCGTCCAACATGTGGTGGAGTTCATGTTGCCACCAGGACTTTCTTCTTCCATCCCTGCCGTAGCATTCCCTTTACAGGATTTTGAATCTGAAGTTGTGGTGGATGAAATGAAGCTATTTTTTTTCAACCTGCTGCCTTTGACTAGAGTACCTCTCTTCTCTTTGAAGAACATGTTTAATCCATTCTTTTTCCTTATCCCATTTCTTATAATGCTTCCTATTCTCTTTTACAAAACCCTTCCACTTCCAATTTCTAGGATTGTTCCACATTCCCCTAATATTTTTCATGTTTCATCTTTTCTATTACAGATTCGTTTTTGCAATATTATGCAACATCCTCCACACTTGACGGTTTCATACCTGATTTCTTAATGTCCCTCACCCTCCCTTTCCTGGACTTGCAGTCCTTGGTTTCAAATTTACAGTTCCTGGGATACAATATTTGTTACCTGGGTCACTGTTCTGTACCAATATTTCCCGACTTTGTGCTTTCCTTATTACCAGACTTTACTACCTTCTCTCTCTCTCCATCTCATGATGGGACCACACCATTATTTAAAAGGTACATTCAGACCATTCCTTCCTCTTCCACAGCACTTGCACCTCTCACTTGGTTCCTTTTTGTTGGGAGCTCTTGGGTAGAGGTACCTTACCTTCCTAAGTCAGTTTTACCCACCTCTTTTCTTCTTGACCTGCGTTTAGCCCCATCACTCCATCAAGAACTCCTTGGAAGTGTCACTGGGATCAGGTACTGAGGCAGACCACCAGCAATTTTCCTTTCCTCATTAGTTTAGAGTTTGTCCCAGTCTCACTCCTCCACATCTGTCCCATGACCTCACCCACCCCTCTTTCCCATATAGTTCCAGTTTCTCTGCCTTCCACCTCTTATTGTCCTGTTTCCATCTAAAGTCTCTCCCATTGTCCTAATGGTGAGAGACCATCCAGTCAGTTCAGGTCATGTGAGATTCCATCTGTTCCAATTTGCTCATTATTTGTAGGCTTATTTTGCTCAACACAAATTGGTCTTAACACCATTCTAGCCCTGCACTTTCTCTGCTCCTCCTGTTCTCTCTCTATCATAGCCTTTCTTCTCTCCTCAGTTCCAGCCATTCTACTGATGGATGGTTTTGGACTCATTGGAGTAGCAATCCATAGAACAAGTTTTCCTGACTTTTCTGAGTTATTACTCACCTCTTTGTTGTCTCCATAAAAAACACAGGGACTAGACTTGTTCATTGACTTATCCTCCATCACTCACATTTTGGTCATCCCTCATTTTCAGAAGGTGAATTACTTCTCTTCCTTCTGGTCCTTCTGGCCAGACATATGGTAGACAAAACAGGTGGGTCAGATGAATTTCACCAAGTTTCTATAGCCCCTGTCTCACAACTTTACCTGAGGTTCATTCACTGAGATTGTGTCTATCACTTTGGTGTCCTTCCATTCGAAATAGCTGTAGCCCCATATGTATTTCATAGCATTATGAAGGCCTTCACTCATTAGCTACACCATCTAGACTGTAGTTCCACTTTCTCATGTGGAATCCACAGATCAAACTTCACTTCTACTTGATGGAGCTGCTCACTTGGGATGGCTCATCCACATTTCCAACTCCTTCCTAGTCTGTCCCAAGGTCTTATTTACCTCTATTTATTTTTTAGCTTTCTCCTTAGTCATGCCCTACCTTATTTTTCCCAACTACTAGACCTCATACATCTCATCACCTAAGTCCACTCCTTTCTTTTCCATCTACTCTCTTTGAGGATTAGTGTTTCTCTAGATCCTATCATCCCACTTGGCTGCACTCATGCATGTCATGTCCAGTGAGCCCAAAGTGATTAATGGAACCTGTCCAGGGATTCCATGTTCTCATGGGTCCTCCTTTTCACCTGTTTTCTGGTGGCTAGACCACTCCCACTCCACCATTGGCATTCCTATACATCCTTCCAAGCCTGTCTTCTCCTATTCCCCACTCATACCTCACCATCTCTCACTTCAAGTTCTTGGACATTTGAAAAGAGTTCTCTTCACATCAGTATCCTGGTAATGCTTGCAGTCCAGTGGGCATGCTTCCATTTCTCTTCCCCCCCCCCCTTCATAGTGGATCTTGTGGTTGAGATCCACTCAGACATTTCCACAGTAGTGTCTTACATCAGCAATCAAGGACACATATGTTCTGGTATCTACTGCTTGCAGACATTAAATCTCTTTTGGGCCCATTCCACTCAGATGAGCTTGATTTCTGTCTATGCCCAGGGTGCTCTGAATATTGTTGTAGACATCTTTGCACCCACTGATTTCTGTTGGGTTTGTTCCCAACTTGGCATTCCTCACTACTTTATACCAATACCCCCATTCTGCTCTCCTATTCCTCACCCATTAGGCATGACTGTGTATACTCTCAGCATTCACACCAGTGCTATTGTCTGTCTCAAAACACCATATATCAAATACTGTTGATCACCCACTACTAGCCTGCCCAACTCCTCTTGACCAAACTTCTTTTCATCCTCTTTCTAAATTTCTTTTTCCTCTTGTACACCTCTCTTGTATGTGATACTCCCTTCGAGTGTGGGATTGTTTGGTTTGCCTCCTGGTTAGCCATATTTTTCCATACGTGTGGCCTTCTTTTCTATTCCTATTGTTCTTCCACCTTTTCTGTTTACCAACAGACATGATGGACTTTTCATTGTTAAGCCTCTCCTTCATCTTTCCTTCCCAACTGATCTACTTTACATCAACTCACCCCTTTTTTTCCTTGGCTATTCAACAGAATCTTGTCTGTTTCTAATGCTGCAGGATCTCAGGATGCTCTATCCACTACATTCTGCCTTTCTCAATTCCACATTGTTTTTCTTCCCTCCCATGTTGTCACCACTCTCTTACA